TTAGATCACTGAATGCACGGCCTGTATTTTAGAGGAACATGCAGGCCGTGCTTTCAGTTAAGTACAGTATTGAGTGTTTAGATTGGCATGATGTTTTGGAGGTCTCCAAGGGAGCCAATCAACTGGTTGAAACCCTGTGGCTCCAACACCCAGCGTGAGGTCACTCAGGACACATTTCTGGTGTTGGCACTGCCATTTACCACTCGCTAAACTAAGCTGTTTAACATGGCTGCGATCGGGGCAAGCAAGGCCCCCTGTGGTCTCATCGATCCTACCATGCAGTCCTCCCCAGGGGTGCTTTTAGAGATTTGGAAGGGTGTCAATTGGATTCTGAACCCTCTGACCACTGTCCTGTCAGTACGTTCTCCTTAGAACTGGTCACCTAGAATTCTAGTTCTAAGAGTTGGAAAGTTGCAACCGGGAGAATGATTTGTTGCTACTTGGCACACGGTGAACCTACACTGAACGGTTTTACATTTCAGGATTGATCTACTCACCGCCAGAGGATTAGAGGACGAACAACAGACGAAGAACAGAGTAGATATTGGTCATCCTTGGCGCATGCCCCTTAAAAGTGGAAATCACTGTGAACTCAGTTTGTAAGCACTGATGCCTTGAGTGCACAGGCGGCCGGTGGCACCTTTAATTGGGAGGACGTCTCATAGCAATGGCTGGAACGGAATAAATGGAATAGTATCGAACACATCAAACATGGTTTCCATGAGTTTGATACCATTCCATTTACTCCATTCCGGACATTATTATTAGCAGTCCTCCCCTCACCAGCCTCCTGTGCTTGGGTGACACGTCCAAAAGATGAATCACGGAAATTAACTTCTCAGAAGCCACATTTTCAGATACAGAGAATAAATAGTCCCATTCTCCCCTGTCAAACACATCTGAATCTAAGAATGCACAGGAATGTCCCAATATGCAGGGGAGTGTTGGACATTGATTAATAAAACCTGTCTAATCCGATAATATGTATATCAAAGCAGATGTCTTTCATAAAAGAAAAGTAGCTAATATTTGAATGTTTTGATTCAAAAGCTAAATTGGTCTATAAGAGCAACAATTAGACACATCTCTGCAATGCTTGAACAAAAGTTTGAACGCTGCTTCTGTCAGACTTTGACACACTGGTCGAGAGAGTGCTTAAACATTTCCAGAAGAAAAGATGCCAGTTTGGCAGAAAGTGTATCGGGTACCCTCGGGCGATTCGGAATCATTAAGGAGAGAGGAGAGATGACACGCTCAGATCAGGTAGTGAAATATTCCTTTTGAATCTCACTGGGCCTGAAAAAGCAGCCTGAATGAAACCTAGTGGATGGGATCGGTCAGTGTCTGTAATTGACTGTACATAGAGAGATGGCTTTGAATCACGTGTCATCCTCTCAAATACAGCCTCTCTATATTTTTTCATTGTCATTCCATGGCAACAATAGTTGGTTACAGCCTGTCAGGTAAGAGGGGCTTGGCTTTTACTCAGCAATTATTTTAGACATCCTCAGTGTTGTGTTATTTTATTCATCCTTTCTACGGCTACCTGTTTTGCTTTAACTCTATTCATTTCATTGTTTTAATATGAAGTGTGTTGCGATTTTGAATGCACTTTAAATAAAGTTTGATTTAATTTAATTTACAACACCAGGGCAAGCTATCACTTCTTCTCACAGGGATGTCCTCTGTCCTCCAGTAGCCATCCCAATTCCTTCCTTCCTGTCTCAGACCTCATTAGAGAGTACCTCAGCCCAGCTCTCCTCAGAGAACATGTCAAACTATTCATAGCACACAGGCTAGATATGAATCTCCTAGGACATCTGTAGGTAACTACATAGATGCATTCTTACTAGCCGATTGCAACTGCAACCCAATTCCCTCTGAAACAATGTTTTATGCTATCCTTGGTGGACTACGTCGGATACCATAATGAAATAAATCCATATTCTTTCTACAGATGTATTTATCTATTTGTTTTATGTGGGGGTTATTCAACAGAGATTATTTGACTAGACAGAAGGTAATCTCGTTTAACACAGAACTAAAATCTTGCGTAATTTGGTCAGACGCTCGATAGACATCTGTCAACGAGAGATTAGACTGAAGGCTAATTAGTGCAGGTTAGGGTTTTTTGCCATGAATCTTGTTCTGGAGGCAGCTCTGCAGAGTGGTGACAAGTCATAACATCTGATTTTAAACATAACCCTAACCTTAACCCTAAATTAAGACCAAAAGGCACATTTTTGTTCTCAATAATGTTTACAATATAGCCAACTTTCACTTTGCAGCTGGTCCATCTAGCTGTAATCGTTCAGTTCTGCCTCAAGTACAAGACTCATCCCAATAAACATCAACCTGCTTAATTAGTCTGAAAGGCTTCTTCATTTGCTTTCATCTCAGTCAGCAGTCCAACACACTTTGAGCACATCTCTTCATCTCTCCCTGAAGAGATCATCAAAACCATCTGGGTATTGGCTCCCCATTACCCCAGAGACAGGGAATCAATATTGAAACTACGCGGCAGAGAAAGGGTCAATTTAACACCTCGTTCATTGGTCAATTACTTCAACATTCCTTTGACCTTTTTAGGTCATCACCACATTCTCATGTGCCAATGTCATGGGCGGCTTCTCTCTGCCGGGACCACAATGCACCAGGCAGTAACCATTACGCGTCAATTAGGCTGAGTAAGAGTTTTTAGGAGACCATGTGGCTTGATGCCACTCACCAGAGTGGATAGTATGCATGGTATTGATTTCATGGTTCCCCGTAAGAGCAATTAGCATGTTCCCTGTCTGCAGCAGCAACCTGTGAACTCTTTGACCAGCTGTTCCTTTTGTTGCTGAGGATCACGCACATTCGTTTTGCACTCGGCAACAGAACAACAGAACATACAGACACACAGTCACTCTGCATGCACTGCCTCAGGTACCGCTTGTTAGTGTGGTTTGTCTCTTCAGCTCATTTCAATCCTTTTCAACACAAAATAAGTAAGCATTAAAGGGATAGTTCACCCAAATTATTAAATTAAATATTAGTTTCCTTACCCTGTAAGCAGTCTATGGACAAGGTATGATGATAGCAATCCATATACATTTTATTTTTTTATTATTTGGTGTTTTTATAAATGTCAATCAATAAGATATAGCAGTTGATTTTGATTACCATAGCAACAAAACATGAGCAAGAAGGGGGGATTGATACAGAAGCTCAAGATACAACAATTGAGAGATAATATTACATGATGGGTATCTAACCAAGGTCTTTGATGGTGGAGATGGCATTTGACCAGCCCACTAGTCTTTGTAGCCGTGCCATGCTTTGGTTTTATTTACTTGGCCACCGTTTCCAAATGCTAACTTTGTAGCATTCGTGGAACAAATCCAATGCAAGTCAATAGTACCGATATGTTTCACACTTCATGTCCAAACCATCTATTGAGCTACACAATCAATGTTAGATATTTTAGGATGATTTGGACATGAAGCATTGTCCATACTGAACTCATATCAAGCCATTTGTCATGAAAGCAAGACATGAACAAGAAGACAGGTGTGTACATCAGTGGAGGCTGCTGAGGGGAAGACGGCTCATAATAATGGTTGGAATGGCATCAAACACATGGAAACCATGTATTTGATACCATTCCACTGATTCTGCTCCAGCCATTACCACAAGGCTGTCCTCCCCATTTAAGGTGCCACCAACCTCCTGTGGTGTACATCCATGTGAATGTATTTTATTTTCCGAAGAGTACAAACAGATGAGTTAAATAGACGAAGCCCCAGATGGATATGTGCACTAGTCCAATCAGAGTGCAGTGCACTGAAATTGTCACGTGACAATTTTACAGTGGCCATTGCTCTAATGCAGGGCTCTCCAACCTTGTTCCTGGAGAGCTCATGTAGGTTTTCAATCCAACCCCAGTTGTAACTAACCTGATTCAGCTTATCAACCAGCTAATTATTAGAATCAGGTGTGCTAGATTACAGTTGGAGTGAAAACCTACAGGACAGTAGCTCTCCAGGAACAGGGTTGGAGTTAAAACCTACAGGAGGGTAGCTCTCCAGGAACAGGGTTGGAGTTAAAACCTACAGGACGGTAGCTCTCCAGGAACAGGGTTGGAGTTAAAACCTACAGGAGGGTAGCTCTCCAGGAACAGGGTTGGAGTGAAAACCTACAGGACGGTATCTCTCCAGGAACAGGGTTGGAGTTAAAACCTACAGGACAGTATCTCTCCAGGAACAGGGTTGGAGTTAAAACCTACAGGACAGTATCTCTCCAGGAACAGGGTTAGAGAGCCCTTCTCTAATAGGTATGCACAAATCTTTAAATTACTAAGATTATCAGGCTGTTACTGACAACTGTTGTCAATTTCCAGCAGACATGCTGTTATAGGATTTTGTATTCAAATGTATTGGTATGGTGTCATAGATATCACCAAACTAATTAACTCTGTGCTTAATTACTTAATTGTGCTATTGACACAGATTTCACATTATATTGGTCTTATTACTTCTAATTAACATAAATTAAATCCTCACATACAGTACCCTAATTATATTATAACAGGGTACTGTATCATAAAATAATCCATTCATATTGACTCCATAATATAGTGTTTAATCACCCTTTGAAGAGAGAGAGACTGTACTGTCCCTACTGACCCTACTGGGCCACAAATCAATGTTAACATGGAAAAGGGAGAAATTCAAAATCAAAGCCGTCGTCATAGCAACGGCCCCTGCCAGATTCCACCAATCAATGGAGTCCGCAAGGCGATGCGAGAGGCACCAGGCGGGGGAAAAGGCCAGGCGTCCTACATAAAGAGTCCGGGACGGGGAGTCAGGGCGCCACAACGGGGCAACCCACCTCTTGCACACACACACACACACACACACTCACACACAAAGACACTAAGCACCAAGGGGAAGACGGAGAGAGTGAAACGAAGAAAAAAGAAGGAACAGAGAAGAGAGAGGGGATATATATGACTAGATATGGCACACAGCTATGAAGGAGGAATCCCTGCCTGGGTATATCTGGGAAGCCTGCTTGTGGCTCTTTGCTTCCAACCCATCACCGTTGGAGGAGGTAAGGTGACTGTGCGACAGACTGCACTGCATTGCGATCAACTGTTTACTTTGTCTATTTTAGTCACTCTGCCACTTTCCTCTCACTACAGTGCATAAAGAACATCCGTTTTATTTCCTATCCTATTTACATTTCTTATCCTAAAGAAGGGTAGGAAAGAGATACAACTCTGTTTTAGAGGAATATCTCCTCACTCAGTGTGTTGGGGAAAACGGTAGTGGGACACATTGCATGTGGGTTGCTCTCTTTAAGCCCTCAGGCACTGGGTTGAGTATTGGAACAGCAGTACTATCCCCCCAGTTCCCACATCCTATCTCTGTCTGTCTGTGGTGTTTTGCAGAGAGAGCCTGAGATGTTTGTTTTTGTGCTGCCTTTGTGAGTCAGAATCGATAAGGATGCTATTTTAGAGACTGAAGAAAATGCTCCTTCCTATATTGAAGGTCTTGACCTGGGAAGCATCAATTGAATTGCACTTTATTTCAGGCTATAATGCCTTCATCTTGCATGGAAGTTTCTTCCTCATGCGTTTTGTGTGCAGAATCCTCACACACACTGTAGGATTTTTCAGTGAGCATATATCTATGTTTAATTTAGGGGATTCAACCCCCCAGCTTCTAAAACTCACTGTGCTTAACTAGAGGAGACAATTCTTAATATTTTATTAATAACATCATCCTCAGATGTATCCATTTTTCTGAAGTTCACGCTTCAATCTATTGTAACAAATGGAATGCTTGATTACAGCACATTTAAATTCGGAAGTAAATTAGCCGAAACAAATCAATCTGTCACAATTAAATGGCATGTTAACCTATCACAATTAATATGCTTGCAAAAGTCAAATTGAACTTCTGAAGTACAATTTTGTTTGAGCTCGGTGAATGACACAAATTCCACAAATGCAATATGCAAATGCCAAAGTTATTTGTCAATGGCCCACAAGCATCAGCTGCCGTCACGGAGATGTAGGCTATAGGTTAGTTGTGTTTATTGAACTGAACAAAGGTTGCTTTGAAGTGGAGGTGCATGATTAGCCGACAGTGGTGATATGAAGACTGGGGGGGCAGTGAGGCAGCTAAGGGAGTGGAGGGGCAGGAGTCTTTCTACCCCTGTGTCTCATTAAACCTACAGTAACAGGAGGAAGCAGCTGGTGTCGTTGGAGGCAGAGCAGGAAGGGCGTTAAAGAGAGTGAGCGTGCAGCTTGTCGTGCTGAGACTTTCTTTCATGTGACTCTACAGTGTGCATGTGACACTTGTGCTCATCCTCAAGAAGACCCTGTAGTGAAGAAGGAGACATCTTGTGCTCAACCTCACAGGAACCCTGTAGTGAAGAAGGAGACATCTTGTGGTCAACCTCACAGGAACCCTGTAGTGAAGAAGGAGACATCTTGTGGTCAACCTCACAGGAACCCTGTAGTGAAGAAGGAGGCATCTTGTGGTCAACCTCACAGGGACCCTGTAGTGAAGAAGGAGACATCTTGTGGTCAACCTCACAGGGACCCTGTAGTGAAGAAGGAGACATCTTGTGGTCAACCTCACAGGGACCCTGTAGTGAAGAAGGAGACATCTTGTGGTCAACCTCACAGGAACCCTGTAGTGAAGAAGGAGACATCTTGTGGTCAACCTCACAGGAACCCTGTAGTGAAGAAGGAGACATATTATGGTCAACCTCACAGGGACCCTGTAGTGAAGAAGGAGACATCTTGTGGCCAACCTCACAGGGACCCTGTAGTGAAGAAGGAGACATCTTGTGGTCAACCTCACAGGAACCCTGTAGTGTTAGTAATAAATCGAATCAATAATAATTTTAGCAGCAGCGTAGGTATGAGGGATCGCAGTGGTTAGCCATTTAACAGTCTTATAGCCAGGAAGTACAGTAGAAGCTGTTTAGCAGTCTGTTGGTCTGAGCCTTGATGCACTGGTACCACCTGCCGTATGGGAGCATGGAGAACAGTCCATGTCTCGGGTGGCTGGAGTCTTTGGCAATTTTTCGGGCCTTTCTCAGATATCGCCTGGCATGTACGTCCTTCCGGTTGAGGGGGTTGCAGTTGCCATACCAGACGCCAAATCGTATCAGCCTCCTGAGGGAGAAGAGGCACGACTGTGCTGGTATGAGAGGACCATGTTAAGTCCTCGGTGGTGTGGACACCGAGCAATTTAATACAGTATATGAACACTATATTCATGTCATTATCTGCAAATATGGGTTTAAAAACTAATTTAAAAAAACTTTTAAAAAGTTGTTTAGTCAGGGGATTAAAAAAACTGTTTTAGACATGTCTGGTGCTTGTACAGTATAGCCTAGGCAAAATTGTACTTAAAGACAAGTAGCCTTTAGGTTTCATAGCCTACACTATTACCATCCATTATCATCCATTATTATCAATTTCACATAGTCTATTAACAGTGTGCTTTACGCTCCAAGATGCTGACCCTAAACCCAAACCACGGGTAGGATTTCCCCATTAGCGACTGGGTCAGTCATTTCTGAACTGCAGACGAACTCAGCGACTGTTCAAGTTTATGGCCATGTCATCACTGCACTGTTATTTAAGCTTTGGAGGGGAGAGTGCAGAGTGTTGAGGCTAGTAGACGGCTTGTCATAATGAATGATTGGTTAGAGGTTGTAATTAATTGTGAGAGCCAGGTGGGTTTATAGGGACAGCAGGGCTTTTATGTTTTAGAACGATGTGTTGAGTTGCTCGATAGTGGCACATGTTTTAGAAGGAGGTGTCGATTGGCTGAATAGGGGTGTTTATGTTTTAGGAAGATGTGTTTATTGGACATTTGGATAGGACTTGATGGATGTACCAGTGTTGTCAGGTAGGACAGGACGTCAATCAGAGAGACTCAGGTGTCGATACATTGATCAAGGAGGGTCTCACATGGATTGAGTATCTGTTGGCTGAGTCTGTGTTGATTGGCAGAATGCTCAACTGCCAACTCAACATTCAGTGTCAAAGTGAGTGATGACTGGAGAAGAAGGGCTCTATCTCAATTTGTCTTTCCGCAATTCCTCACCTCCTTCACAACCGTATTGGAGGAGAAGGTCCAAGGGGAGGATGCCATACAGAATAGAGAGTATGGTAAATAGAAAGAGGTTGCGAGGAATCGAGGACAGATGAATTGAGAAAGAGCTATGGTGTTTTCACTTGCAGTTGACCCAGTGTTGAACGGGATCCCTTCATCTTCTCTTCCTGTAGCCGCGCTGAAGCAGGAGGTGGCGCTGGAGAATGGCGCCACAACGCTGAACCACTCCATGGCAATGGTGCAGCGCATGGAGGGTCTGCTGGCCCAGGGCAATGGCAGCGATGTGGCCCTCCATGTGCAGACGGTAAACACGGACGAGGTGAAGGTGATCCAGGCGCACACGCTGGTGCTCTCGCTGCAGAGCGAGGTGTTTGAGGAGCTGATGCTCAGCCGCAACGCCAGCACCGTGGTCCTGAGAGAGCCTGCTGACTGTGCTGCTGTCTTTGACAAGTTCATCAGGTGAGGGGACCTGGAGGGGGGAGGAGACATAATGAGTGCACACCTCAGGGGGATGGGGGAGGAACAGAATTGGGCTAGTGATGTTTCATATTTTGTATAAAAAAGTGACCTCCTTTCAAGTTCAGTAATGCTAATGTTTCTGCAGACCGATCTAGCCTTGTTTTATCTCTGCAGGTACCTCTACTGCGGTGACATCTCCGTGCGTCTGGACCAGGCAATCCCTCTGCACAAGCTGGCCAGCAAGTACCGTGTGTGGAGCCTCCAGCAGGGCCTGAGCCAGTACATGACGGGGCACCTGTCCAGCGACTCCCCGTCGGGCCATGTGGTTGGCTGGTACCAGTACGCCATGCAGATCGGCGACGCCAACCTGAGGGACAGCTGCCTCCAGTACCTCTCCTGGAACCTGTCGTCAGTGTTGCAGAGCGGCGAGTGGGGCTCCATCAGCGATGACCTGCTGCTGTCCCTGATGCAGCGCTCCGACCTCATCCTGCAGAGCGAGCTGGAGCTCTATGAGGCCCTGGAGGCCTGGATCGGCCAGAACCAGCCGGCTGGCCTGACGGTGGAGAATGCCCTGAGGCAGGTGCGCTACGGCATGATCCCCCCGCAGCACCTGTTCCGTCTGCAGAAGCAGTCGCCACTCATGCTGAAATACTACGAGTCCATCCGTGACCTGCTCTTCCTGGCCTTCCAGTTCCACTCGGCCTCGCCCGTCCAGCTGGCCAAATACTTTGACGTCAACTGCAGCATATTCACGCCGCGCAACTACCTGTCGCTGTCCTGGGGCTCGCCGTGGGTCATCAACAACCCCACGCGCGACGACCGCAGCTTCAGCTTCCAGACCCAGCTGGGCCCCAGTGGCAGCGATGCCAGCAAGCGGGTGACCTGGAACGCCCTGTTCTCCCCGCGCTGGCTCCCGCTCAGCGTGCGCTCCGCCTATACTAATGAGATGCAGGCCACACGCACCGACGGCGGCCGTCCGCGCATCATCGTCACCCCAGCCACTTCCAGCCCCGACTTCGCCGGTGTGAGCTTCCAGAAGACGGTGATCGTGACGGCGAGGCAGGGGGGTAAAATGGTGGTTCGTCACGTCTACAACTTCCACCAGAGCACTGAGGAGGCCGGGGATTTCCTGGTGGACGCCGACCTTCACCGCCGGGCGTCTGAGTACCTCATTGACAGCTCCCTCTACCTGCACGTCGTGGTGAAGCCCCTTTACCACAGCCTCATCGTCGCCAGGAAATAGGCCAAGAGGTTGTTGTCGCCTTAGTAACCAACGGTTCCCACTAGATGGTCAAGTTGCAATGTCAAAATTGGCTATATCATAAAAAATTATGAAAACCAAAAATGTGCTTTTTGGTCTTAATTTAAGGTACAAGGCATAAGGTTTGCAGTGTGGTTGAGATTAGATTTCAAGAATATAAATTGTAGAAATAGGCTGGGTTTATGACTTTGGAACTTGCCCAGACAGTGACGACCGTAACCAACTGTCCTCCCTGCTGAGTCCCCCTCCTACCCCCCTCCGCCTGCACACAGTCACATATGCACACACCACTATGCCAAACACACTCATATCGCAACTCCTGTTTATTGGCCTGGTATTGGGCACCTTTGTTCAACATCAGTAAATGGTGCTTTTTGCAGTAGTGGTTAAGTTTGTCTCCGAACTGTTTTAGCTCCGAAAAGAGGTGTCTGGTGCCAGCTGTAACTGTACTGCATCTATTAAGTCAATGAAAGTGTTTCAGATAATAACAGTTCCTCCACATCTTACACACATGGTAGTGGCAAACACATGACTGCACTGTATTTGTTTGAGATATGATTATGTCAATACTTGGATATTTCCTTGATTTCCCCTGATTAGAGGAAAGGCACATTCTTTATGACACATTTAACTGTATGATGCTATCTGCATAGCTATAGGATACTACTAGTATATCAAAGTGTCAGTTATTGGTATTGTTTCCATTAGCTGAACTCTCACTTTGTCGGTGCTAACCAAATCTCACAGGATCAAGTGAAGCTTCTTTCATTGCTTTGCACACTGCTGCAACACCATAAGTACTGGCCATTTTAAAAGCATGCATTCATACCATTAGTCACAATTACCCACATATAAGTTTACAAGCCTAAATGTTATAGCCATGCTGATGCTCAGTGACCAGACAATTCCTATACCAGAGTTTCTCTAGAAGCCATTTTGCTGTTGCCCTACTCTTTTGCAAGTTGGGGAGCATTTCTATTGAATCTTTAACCCTACCTACAGTATTAGTGCTATTAGTAGGATTGTGTTGTTGTGAGTAGTGCTGACATAATTAATTATACACAGGCCTATGGATGACATTGTTGGTCTAAGTTATACTGTCGGGTCTTTAGAATGTTACTGTTATTGGTTCATGTAGCTACGGTATCTCTCTATGTCCTCTTCCTATATCCTGAATAAAATTGTATTTTACCCAGTCTGTAATTTGTCTGTTTACTTGATTCACCGTAATATGCAGAACACTATGTGATACAGAGGACAATTGTGAGTTAAGCCTAATTTATACCATACATATGCAACGAAGTAACACAAACGCAAAATAGCGACCCTGTATACTGGCATCACATTTATAATTGCGGGGCTGCAGACGTGTGTATTTTTGCTACGCAACAATACAGGATTGCCATTTTTCATAGCTATTGGTAGTTCTTGTACTTCATACTAGGTTTGGTATAAATTAAGCTTTAATCAAAAACAAACAAGGTAGGCCTATCAAAATGAATTTCACATGCCTTGTATGGGGATATCGCTCTGAAATCGAAATGCTTTGAAGCCATTGAAAAACCACAAATTATATAAATTTTTCAATCATGATTTGTTCCATAAACTGGTCTGGGACATGTCCACACCTGTTGGCAATGACAGCAGAGACTACATATCCCACAACTATGTAAACCAGGGCAGGAAAAACGTCATAACGCATTTGACGCTCGAGCCTTTAGCTGTCAGATTGGTCGAGTTCGTTTTGCATAGCCCGGTGCCCCGGTGAGCGAGTTTACTCATTTTAGACCATTTCATTGGTCCTGAAAAAAATCTCTACACACCCGGGGCACCGGGCCATGCAAAATTAACTCGACCACTTCTTTCGCGACCTAAAAAGTGTAACGTTTGGTATTGTATCGAGTTAAATTCGCTAGCATTCATATTTGTGCTTTCGGTTTATAACTGTTTAACAAGAAGCCCTGTAACACGGAGACAAACTAACGCAACTTGCATGAAGATTGAAACAGACTTGCATCGAAGTTGCAGGAGAGCGGGGTAGATGCAGGGAGGGAGGGAGTAAAAAGTATTTGTGCTTCCCCTCCCCCTCATCAAAGCAAAGGGGGAAATGTCTCTTTCTAAAGGAGGTAAGAATTATTTCGTTTTACTTACAACAGTGTTAATCGTGCAACAAGACTGAGTTTCCGACAAAAATGCATTACTGGAAGTCAGGGTTATGTATTGAGTCATTGCATTATTGACGTTTTTAAAATATCGGTTCGTTTCCTGCTTAACTAACGTTAGGGTCTGCCCTTGTACAAAGTTGCTAGCTAGCTAACTTCAGCTAGCTACATTTTAGTACAAGTTGTACTGTGATGCCCCATTGCCCAATGCATTTATCTGTAACCTGGCTAGAAACCATAACATTATGTGGTTGTTTCCTGTCAATTCTTGGAAATTGAAACAATTGTTTATGAACAAGCGATAACGTTACTAACGTTAGCTAGCTAGTTAGGCTACTTGGGGCTGCAAGTTGCAACTGTTGCTTGCTAGTTAGTTACTTACCTAGCGAACTAATGTTACATATATCATTGTCTATTCGACCAAACGAAAAGTGTGTAGCTAGCCACACCGGTATCGATGTAACGTTAGCTATATCGCGTGCGTTATTTTATTGGGAACACGCATGCCATGCCTCGCGACTTGTCGTTTGATGGGAAAACATGAGTCATGGATTTCTTCCGACAACGTTACTTAGTCTAATATTAGCGTGTGCGTGTTCATATTGTCTCCCACGCATTCTTTGAATAGTTTTTCACTTATATTTGTCTGTCACATATTTTCTCCAAAGCAATGCGAACAAACGCCTGACCTATCATACAGTTGGTCTCCCTCTGACACTAAGTTATCAGTTATGTGATGTGTAACTAGCTAGCAACAGCCAGGCAATGTTGAATAAAAAACGCCAGGTGGAAAACAAATCGAGGCCCTCCTCCTACCTCGCACATGGGGACATTATGTTGATAATGTGAATTTACATTTCATGTTCACTGCGTGGTATTATGCTACACGAGCGTTTGTCCTGGGGATCCCAAGGGGTGCACATTTTGGGCTTTGCCTTAACACTAACGTAACATAGCTGATTCAAAATGTCAACTCATTATCAAGCATCGATTATTTGAATCAGCTGTGTAGTGCTCGGGCAAACACCAAAACATGCACCCCTTGAAGTCCCCAGCAATGCTGGGCTACACAATCCTACTGGCATTACCATGGCTAGGAGAGGCCTGCTCACTGACTGTATGCTGTACAGGAGCTATCCCAGGCAGCCCATCTATAGCCTAGCTACCTGAACGCATGTGTTGACTTGTACTTCCAGTGACTTCTGCAGTCTGTCTTTGTTGACAGCCTGCGACAGTCTGCGGTTGTACAGCTGCTACACTGGTGTGCTATGCTGACATAATTGGTGCTCACCTTCCTTTCGGGAGCAGCAACGGCCTGTTTGCTTATAGTAAAAGTGTAGGATGAACCCTGGGTTTTCCATTGTGTATGGACTTTTCTTGACCACTGTAGCCAGTTTCACTTTGTTTGAGGTATTGGGTGGAGTAGGCCTAAGTGCTTTGCAATGCTTGTTTGTTCATTTCAAGTTGCTGTTGCTTAAGGAGATTTTACAACAAATAATGCACTCTTCTACAATGGTATTTGCCCTGCCCACACAAGAAACGTCAGCTGCAATGTGAGACATTTTCAAGCAGCCCATTCAGAGCTAGCGGAGGTGACAGACCATGAAAGTGAGGTCTTTTTTTTTTCTTTTTTTTACATTTACCTTTTAGTAATTTAGCAGATGCTCTTATCCAGACCAACTTACAGACAGTGCTAGCTCCTGGAGTTGAAACCAAGGCTTTAGCACAGTGGGTTAACACAGTCTGACCTGTGTGCCTTCTGGCTGGCAGCCTGTCTCATCCTGGACACAGATTAAGCCTAGTTCTGGATTAATTTGATCTCCACTGAAAGTGCATTGTAGTCCAGGACTAGGCTTAGAGGTAAACTCGGCAATACAAAAGTATTTGGTATTTTATTCGTATCCCCATTAGCTGTTGCTGAAGCAGCAGCTACTCTTCCTGGGGTCCACACAAACATGACATAATCCAGAACATCAATAGACAAGAACAGCTCAACGACTGAACGACACACATTTTTAAATAAGAACAATAGAACCCCAAAAAGGTCCTACTGACAGTTACACACATTACTGAGTTACCACACATCAGTACAGGTACCTATACCTAAGAGTTATTTGGGTCAGACAGGGGAGAGGCATTGTGATGTGTGGTTTGCTTGAGTCATTTGAGATGGAAATGAGTTCCACACAGCAATATCGGGCCGATTTCCGCAACAACTAAGAACGGTGAAGCACAAGGCTAAACTTCTCTGCTGTTTTGGTCCCGTACCTACCACGTTGTAGCAGTGTGAAGCGAACCCATGCACAGAAATACTGTGTGACAGTGAGAGAGCACTGATGCTCATCCAGAGTGAAAAATAACCTGTTACTTGGAAGATTAATCGTTGCCGGTGTAAACGGGTCGAGTGCCTGTACCCCACTGTGATGGTGGCTCGCGACCCAGCTATTCACATCGTCATCCAATGGGCTGTCCAAGAATTCAGTGTTCATCTTCACACAGAAGATACAGCATACCTTGTACAGGAGTCTTCAAACCAGTGCAACTGTCTGTGACTAAAGCCGGGGTGTGGTTATTTTCCTCTACAAGGTACTGAATCACCTGTAACATGATATGCACACACACCACAGCTACGACTGTAGCTGGATTAGTCAGCATCAATTATTTAATTTTACCGCCTAGGCCTATAGGCTATTTTTGTGCATGGTTCAGGTCGTTGAGGGAATGCTTCCTTTGAAATCTTTGAAAGAAAGCTGCTGTATTGCTCGAGTTGCGTCACGT